GACATCCAAAGTATAGGAAATAAATAAACACACCAAGGATACCCTCTAGGCAAAGGTACCTGCATCATACAAAACACACTAGCATCCTAGCCTAATACTAGAGTCAATTATCTTAGCAAATAAGGTCTAGTGTGTGTAAAATGTCATGTGTCTTTGATATGTACTTGGGGATTTTGTGTTCAAGTTTTGTAAATTTGAAGTTATATGTTGGATATAGGCTAAGGGAAGTTTCAATTTAAGTTTATATTTTAATATTTTAAAATTTTATTAATCAAAATTTAGTGAGTATTATTTGTTTGAGTTATTTTATGTTTTAAAGAACCATGTTAATTAGTGGCTTCAAAGTACATAAGTCACTAACCCAAGTCCTAAGGCTTATTATTGCAATGATACCATTCACTAGAAAGGATATGATTTATTGCATAGAGTCCTTACGTTTTAATTAAGTGTTTTAGTGCTTAAGAGCTTCCAATCCCAAACACCTTTGCCTTCCTAAAGTTGTCGAGCACAAGGGTATAAATCTCTAATTTCTAAGAGTTTTATTAATAATTTATTAGTGAATATTAAAGTTGAATAGTGATTACCTTTGCTAAATCAGGTCTATAAGATTTATTTTATCCTCGTTAGGGCTAAGTTAATAATCTCGTAAGCCTGGATTACCAAACAATCACCTTGATTAATTGTGTTTGATTGTTTGTTAAATATATTGAATTAGTTATTTATTAAAGGACTTAAGAATCCAATGCATATATGTCTTCCAAGATGGAGGCAAACATAGGATATAAAAGTCCAATTGATTATTCAGAGATCCTCCAATCCAATGCATATGTATCTTCGAGCATGAGTTGAATACAATGCATAAAGGCTTTTTGTTATTTAAAATTGATTAAGGACATTTTAAATCCAGTACTAATATGACCTCTAAAGAGTCAAACAAAAAGCCTATAAGGTCCTTTAATTATTTGTTCGGAATTTAATTGATTAAATAATTAAATTAAATTAAGATTAGTTATGTTAATTATGAGTTCTTATTTTATTTGAGATGATAAAAATTGAATTATTATTCACTAATTTTTATTTTCTTTGTTTAAATTTTTAATGATTTATTTGAGTTTTAACTAATTTTCAATCAATGTCATTTAATTAATCAAATTTAGTTATGTACTTTTATTTTAAAATTTTATCAATTTTTGTTTTGTCTATTTTATTTAATTCATTTAGATTACATTGTTAATTTATTTAATTTAAAACTATTAATAAATTTGATTTATTAGAGTGTGACAAATTGAGTTTGTTTATGTTTAATGAATCTTTTTTATCTTTATTAGTATATTTATTTTATTAGCACATTATGATTCATGACAATCAAAGGGGAAAATTTTTAAATATGAAAATAAATCAATACTACGCATTCCTAATTTTGTTACTAACAAATAAAATCCTACTCACTAGCAGGTTAGGGGATTTGAAAAATTAAATATAGGATTTCTACAAGGACCTAAGGTTTAAGGGACCCTAGTCACATGCAAGGTTTAGAGGATCTAAGGAGCTCTAAGTTTTATAATTTACCTCACCTGAGTTAGTCTGGTTCAACTGGCCGTAGCACCTCCATTTAGAAGAAATAGATATGATCAATATTCTCAGCTTTAACCTCTAATCAGATCCATCATTACCAAGCAAGAGATGTGTTAGAATTTAACACATTATAATTTACAAATGTATGTGAAATTAAAATTGATGATAATATTTGAGAGTGATTATGCATACAAATATGGCAAGAGAGAAAGATATCACATTGCTACTTATAAAACTTCATGGCAATTATCCATGACATGAATATACATGATGAGATTTAACAATTGTCTTAATTTCATCTATGATGCAACTTATAGTAACAAATAAATAGTTATGATCATTGCACTAATAAGAATGGTGCCTATGTAATAATAATCTCACTTATGTGAATATAAGATTTCGTTTATAAACTTGGATAACATGTATATATATATGGGATAAACTACAATATTGTATTGAAGTTATTTTTATATTAACTTGAGAATAAAACAATTCATAAGAAAGACATTCACATTGAATTTATATTTTAATTATTATTCACTTAGATATTAAGGCATAAATACTTGTGAATAGTTTGACTAAATATCGCTTACAAAAAGATTGGAACATGAATATCTATAGTAGAAAACTAATAAAATGATTTAAGCATGAACTTGAATAGATAATATACAAGTATATGTGAAAAAAAAAACTATTATCAAACATTGTTGGCTCAAGAAAAATGGCACGAGTGCATGAATCCTGCTTTGTAGCCGTAGGATTCCATTTCCCTTAAGTCAAATTATAGTTAACCAGATTTCCCCTGAGGGTAGTGCCAGGGTTTAATTAGATCTGGGATCCTTACTTCCTATGAGTGCAAACACTCATAGTTTATTTTTTTATTTATTTTTTTATTATTTTACAAGCACTCATAGTTAATTACCCTCTTAAAAAGTAAGAGAGAACTCTCGATTAAGGATCAAATAATTTTAGATATTTTTTAGTCTCAATAATGGGGAAAATGGAGATAAACTCGATCAAGATCTCATGGTTCCGTCATCCCAGGTATACCATAGATTTCAGTCCACCAACACTAACAATCATTGACCGTAGTGTCCAGGAAATCTAATTAGCAGCCATGGGTTGCCTCCTCTCAGAGATCTCAAGTAGACTGAAGTGGTGAGATGTGAGTTTTAATTTGATTAGATGTTTTGGGGTTTACATCTATTAGAATACCTAGAGATTTATTTAATTTGAGATTTATAACTTCGTTTAGAAGTAACCCAAGTTTTTATATAATATGATACTTATGGATTTCATAGAAAGTAGCCCATGTATTTAGATTTAATTTGGGACTTACGGCTTTCGTAGAAAATAGTTCGGGGAATTTTTATTTGGAATGGAGCTTACTGCTCTATTTATGAGTTGCCCAAGAATGGTTCTTACAACCTAACTCTACACCTGCCCAGGGATTTAAATTTGATTTTTTAGTTAGATTTGGATTTTAGGGTTATTGAAGTTCACTAAACAATTTTCCTAAACATGGGTCTTACGACTTTCGTATAAAGTAGCCCAAATTAGTGGGACTTACGACCTTTATTGAAGGTAGCCCAAATATTTTAGTTGGGTAGGTCTTATTACTTCTTTAGAAGTTGTCTAATGATGGGTCTTACGATTTAGTCCTGTAATCTAAGTGACCCGAGTTATGGGTCTTACAACCTTTATTGAAGGTAGCCAAAGTATTTCAGTTGGATAGGTCTTAGTGCTTCTTTAGAAGTTGCCTAGTGATGGGTCTTACAACTTAATTATGTAAGCTAAGTGGCCCGAGGTGTGGGTCTTACAACCAAGCCCTACAGACTAGGCTGCCCAAATTATGGGTTTAATTATTTAGAAATAGGGTCATTCATTTAGAAGTTCCCTAACACCCAGGTCTTACTTCTTCTTTTAGAAGTAGCCCAAATGGTGGGTCTTATAACTTAGTCCTATAGACTAAGATGCCCAAATGAGGGGTCTAGGTTTGTATTATCACTTAAACATTTCCCTCAAAGGTCGGACTTACAACTTATATTAGAAGTAGCCGGTGTTTTAATTAGAGGTTAGGAGTTAGGCCAATTTTACCTAAAAACTTTCCCCTAAGATCGGGCTTACTTCTTTCCTATAAAAGTTGCCGGGTAATGGGTCTTACAACCAAGTTCTTATAAACAAGACTGCTCTAGTGAGGTTTGACATTATTTTCTTTATTTTAGCATAGTTGTGTTGCTTTTACACGCTTCTAGTACTTTGTTCTATCTGCAGTAACAATATTTATTATTTTTCTGTATTTATTCAATTTATTTGCAATGCACTGATCCTTATTTGTTTGTTTGCAGGGGCTCGTACATGAGAACTTTGGAGAGCTCGGAGATTATGTTATTCTGTTGGAGAGTTTTGGTTATTGTTGTAGGGAGTTTTGTATAGGAATTTGTAGAGTTTTGTTTGATTTGAGTTTGAATTGTTTGTAGATTGAGTTTGTTTTGAGAGTTGATTGCTTTGTATACATGTCTATGAAGATGAAATTTACAAAGAAATTTGATCATAAAAATATGGGTTTATGTTTCCAACAATTTTGATATTTAAAAAGAGTCATTGTAGATAACTTCAAGCTATTTGGCTTAGAAGGCAAATATGGCAACTCTTTCAATTTCGCACAATAATTTAGCTATAGTAGGAAATTTGTTTTCAAGTCATTTTACTTTCAACATACAAGAAAGTTTTAGAGACTTGAGGAAGGGAAGTTGTCCAAATGTGAAAGAATTTTCCCATTAATGTAATGTTTCCTTTAAAAAATATATATATATATATATCGAAGTTCACATTGATGTTGTTCATCCATATTGCAGAACTTGCACTTAGGTAATATATCTTACGCTTAGATTCTTTAAACGATTTTGCGGCTGAAGGTTGAGAAACACCTTATATAAATTGATGTTGCCTGAATATTTTTTTTTTTTTTTTAGGGCATAAGCCCATATATTAAAGATAAAAGAAAACGTTACAAGTAAGAAAAATTACATGTAAGAAAACTACCTAACATAAGTAAGACAAAAACTGATGTAGGTAAAAAAGAAATAAACCCCAACTATACCACCCAAATCATACACATATGAATATCCAAAATGTGGTAAATGCAGCAAAAAGTGACCAGCAATAGAGCCAACATCCAAGCAGTCCAACCAGATCCGAAAACCAACTTCTGCACCAAAACCCAGCACCAGAGGAACTCCAACCTGGGTAAAAGAATGGAAAACCACCTTCCCAGCCAAGTCAGAAAAACAGGAATAGAGCAAGCAGAGCGAGTAGAAGGAGATGAAAACCAAGCCCGGAAAATTATTAGCCAGGACTCAGAATAATAGTTAAACAGTAAAATTGCCCCTGGTTGCCCGAAGACCGTCCAAGGGGGAACGAAATCATATCTCAACAGTCGGAGCTTCAACATTGTCCTGGCTAAAATAATCCACCCAGGCAACCAGCAGCCACTGCAGCAACAACATCTCCAAGAATAGCAGCAAAGTGCAGGAATAACCCAGCAATCATACATTATCCGGAAGCAGATCCTTAACTTTCCACTTGGAAATTTTAATAAAAACCACTCTTTTGATAGAAGAAACCAGAGTAGTAATACTATGAACCTCATTACCAAATCTTCTGCTATTATGCTCTCTCAAATGTGGTAAATGGTGCAACAAACCACCATCTTAAAATAGTTTTTGAGCAAAGTAGTACCCACAAAATCAGAATCCAACCATTGCAAAAATTGTAACACAGTTGGCCTAAGCAAAAATTCACTAGAGGCAGGAATAAGAGAGGAGAGAACAGAGAAAGCGAAAGGGCATTCAAAGAAGAGATGATTTACAGTTTCCGGCTCAACTTGACACAGGGAACAAGTTAACGGCACATGTATATTTCGAAGCCTTAAAGCATCTTGGGTTTTTAAACCAACTACAAGAGCAAGCCAGACAAAGACAGAGTGTTTAAGAACATGCTTCTGATGCCAAACCAGAGAATGCCAAGAACAAGAAGCCAGAGAACAGTAAAATTCCTCCAAAAATTCACTGAATTTCACCTTAGCCATATCCTTCCAAATTAAACAAGGACCCGAGGAGTTAATAATGAGAATTCTAGAGATATAGTCACATATGGAATTAGGAATGTTCACCGCCAAATTCCAACCCCCAGATACAATATAATGCTTAACCAAAGGCAGAGAAAAACAGTCCAGAGATTCTCTACCAAATTTATCCAATAGAGTATTATTATCACACAAATGATCCCAATGCAAAGCAATAGGAGCAGTTGGAGTGATAATAAACTTGAAATTTGCCTTCACAAGAGCAGCAGTATTACATATAGATATCCAGAATTTACTTGCTTGAGGAGACGGGGGTTTCCACGGGGAGCTGTAACGGGTAGACAACCAATTGGACAGAGGGGAGTGACTATTATACATCATGTAAATGATAGTGCAGTTGAAAGCAAATTGAATAGCACTTAAAGAGGGAATACCTAAACCACCTTTATCTTTAGGCTTGCAAACATTATCCCAGGATACCATATGAAGCTTATTGGAGCAAGTAATATCACCAAAAAAAAGGAACCTAGAATAGGTTTTCTTGAAAAACTTAAAAACAGTTTTAGGTAATATAGAACCTCTTATCCAATAGGCAATGGTGTTCTGAATGGTAAACTTTAGATATTGTAGTCTGCCCGCAAATGAAAGAAGGTTAGCCTTCCAACCATCAAATTTGTTATGAATACTATCCATCAAAGGAAGATAATCAGCCACTCTCAATCTATTAAAAGAAATAGGAATTCCAAGATAGGAGATCTTGGAAGTAATTTGAGAAATAGATAAAGCTTGGCACAATGAGTTCTGATTCCTTTGATTCTTTGAAAACATCACAGAGCATTTATCGTAATTCACATGAAGACCCGATACTTGTGCAAATTCATCAAGAATAGAAGAAAGAAGAGAACAATTCTCAATGGTAGCTTCCCCAAAGATAAGAACATCATCAGCATATAAAAGATGAGAGAGATGGAAGTTATCAGCATTAAATCCTTTAAAACCTCTAGCCTCTAGAAGGTTAGAAAAGGCATCCATTACAATACAGAAAAGGTAAGGACTTAAGGGACAACCCTGCCTAAGTCCCGCAGAAGACGGGAAGTAGCCTTCCAAAGACCCATCAATTACCATAGAGAAATTCACATTAGTAATACAGGCCTTAATCCAGGAAATAAAAGTTTTAGGGAAACCTTTATGTAATAGCCTAGCAAGTAAAAATTCCCTAGAAACAGAATCAAAACCTTTCTTGATATCAATTTTTGCACAAAAAATGTTGTCTACCCCTTTTTTGTTAATCAATGATAAGATATCATTGGCAAGCAATATATTATCAGTAGAATTCCGAGATTTAACAAAACCGGCTTGTGAATCTTTAACAATACTAGGCATCATCGATTTTAGTCTTCCTGCAATAACTTTAGCAATGATTTTAAATAAAGTATTGCATAATGAAATAGGCCTATAATCAGTGATAGAAGAAGCATTGCAATGTTTAGGAATAATAGCTAAGGCAGTAGCTTTTATCCCACTAGGAAGGTAACTTTTAGAAAAGAAAGCATTGATAGCTTTGCACACCGTAGGCCCAATAATATGCCAACCAGACTTGTAAAAATGATAATTAAAACCATCTGGCCTCGGAGAAGATTTTGAGGATCCCTTGAAAATAGCCTCCCTGATCTCAGCTTCAAGAATAGGCATAGTAAGCAAGTTACCAGAAAAATCAGGAAGAACAGCACCAACTGGAATTAAATTTACATCCTGACAAGGAGGAGAGGGAGGATTAAACAGATTGTGAAAGTAACGAATGATGGAATTCAAAACCTCCTCTCTAGATAAATCAGAATTACAGGAAAACAAATTGGCCACCAACTTAGAACTTCCCTGCCTACACCTGATCTTCCCATATAGGAATTTAAGATCATCTTCACCATGATGTAACCAATTAATTTTGGCCCTTTGGATAACCCAGCTAGCGAGGGAAGAGGAAACCTCAGCAATTTTGAGATTAGTCTCTTTAAGGGAAGCCACCAGAGACAAGTCCAGAGGGTTTATTTGAATTTGTTGAAGGAAGTTAAGTTGATCAGCATGAAGAACCTCCAATTGAGCAGATAGAGATTGGGAGTTAGCCCAATTATGGTTTTTGATTTCCCCTTTTAATTGCCTAAAAACAAAACAGAGGTGGGATAAGGGGTTACCAATCATAGGCAACGAAAAAGCATTAAGAAGATACACCCAATATCTGTCGTTATTAGTCCAAAAGTTCTTAAAAAGAAATTTGTGATGAGCATGAAAAGTCAATCCCGGATGCAGAATAATCGGGGAGTGATCTGAACAAGATGTTTGAAATGAACTAAAAGAATTAGGGAAATTCTTAATCCAATCCTCATTAACAAGAGCTCTGTCAAGTTTTATAAAAATAGGATTGGCAGTTTGCTGATTATACCAAGAGTAAAGGCTACCAACCGCGTTCAAATCCACCAGCTTATTAACAAAAATCATGTTGTTAATATCCACCAAGTTAGAATGATGAAGAGGCAAACCTCCCGACTTATCTGAGGCATAACAGCAGCAATTGAAGTCCCCAATTACTGCCCAAGGAGTGTTACCAGAAGGCGCAGCCGCACATAAAGAAGACCAGAGCTCTTTCCTATCAAGAGCATTATTAGCAGCATAGACAATAGAAAATTGGAAAGGGGGAGAATTGCCAACCGAAACAGTCCCATTTATCAGTTGAGAGGTAACAAGAGAGGGACTAAAACTGAGTTTGCTAGCATCCCACTTAATCCATATCCTACCAGAGGAAGCAAGATTAAAGTTATGAAAACTGTCTTCATTAGAAAAAAGCCGGTGAGAAGAATCGAAAAACGGATCCAGAAGGGAGGAGGCATGAACACGGGTTTCCAAAAGACAGAGCATATCTAATTTAAAAGACTGAATCAGACGCTTGCAGCTAAGAACTTTGTCGGGTCGATTAAAACCCCTAACGTTCCATACACCAATGGAAGGGAGAGACATCAAAAATTTTTAAGAGTTTGGGATTTTTTACCCTGCTTCCCCTTAGCAGTTTTCTTAGTGACTTCAAAAGTAGCTTGTTTTTTCCCCTTACCCGGTTGCTTATAAGCATTATTAACAATATCAGCATTGGAAGCCTCAATCTCAAGCAAATCCGTGTCACTTTGATTGCTTAAGATCTGAAATTTATTCGGGGAATTAATTCTAGTGGAAGCTTTCAGAGTTGAAGGTAGATTGGAGGTAGATGAAGAGGACAGTTCTTCGGTGGGGATATTTAAATTAGGAATAGTAGCATTAATGGCATCAGAAGAGATACCAACTAATACAGAATCACCAATGGGAGGAATAACAGTATTGTCTGGAACTTCAGTAGAAACTAAAAGATGTAAATTTTTTCCCCCTTGTCAAGATTCGGCGGAGGAGAATGTATTTGATAATGAAATGGTTGCCCAATACTATTAGTATGCACAGAAATAGTATTAGCTGTAGAAAGGGCTACAGTTTTAGAAACACCTGAATTTATTGCCTCAGAACGAGGAGGCCTAGAACGGGAGTGAAGTCGGTTACTGGGCTTCTTGCTGAAACTCCTACCACGCCCGATTTGTTTTGAAGTCGTAGGATCATTAATGACAGGATTTGGATTCTGCGGGCAAGAGGAAGAGTAATGCACCAAGGACTTGCAATGCTCACAAGGAATAGGACGCCATTCATATAGCACCCTTAAATCAATAACATCCCCATCAAGAGAAACTTTAATAACATCAAGATAGGAAGCCTTACTGTCAACGAGAACTCAAATACAAGCAAAAGTCAGCCGAGTTTTTTGTTCAGTCAGCTGGTCCGCCGCTACCGGAACACCCACTTTGCTTGCGATCCTAGAAATACCTTCAGAGTTCCAACAGGCTAGAGGAAGGTCATGTATTTTGATCCAGATCGGTACAGCGGAGAAGTCTTCCCTCTTAGGCTTGAATTTAGGGTGCCATTTTTGAAGAACAAATGGCTTCCCTAAAAGGACCCACACTCCTTTTGACCAAACCATCTCAAAATCTTCAGCATAGGAAAATCACAGTAAGAAGAAACCATCACTGAGGGAAAGAAGCTTGAGGGAGCCTTTCAGAACCCAAGTTCTGTTGAAAGCACCTAACAAAGCTTCATAGTATGGTCTACGCCCTATTGAATAACCAACAAGACATAGACTCCGGTCCTCACCCCCAAGAGCAAGTTTCTCACCAGAAAAAGGAATAATTTCAGGTTCGGATGGATGATGCGAGAAGCTAAAGGCCTTAGAAGAAGAAGAGCTAATATCGGGGGCGAAGATTTGATTCCAGTTCCGCAAAGGAGCTGGGGCCACAGCAGCAACAGAAGAAAGAGGCGGGAAGTCAGACGCAAGAAGAGTCGACTTCATGAGGGGGAGCCTCCGGCTTAGCCGGAGGGGCGGCGGAGAGGAAGAAGAAAATCAGCTCCACAAAAAGGAGCAAACCCTAGCAGAGCAAACCCTAGCAGAGTTCGACGAAAATTTTTTACTACCCTGTGAACCCGGCATTTTGCCTGAATAATTATAACTCCAATGTAAGGACAAATCTGTCAGTCTCCACTAGTCACCTAATTTGATATTGCAAGCCTTTGTTAATTAGTTATACAATCTGATTCAATTTAGTTAACAAAAATAAATATTATCAAGTTAATTAAGGAACTACTCAATATTATAATTCATCAATTAATTCAACAGGCAAATTAAATGCTCTCCAATTTCAAAAAAAAAAAAATAGAGATCTATTGTTTTTTTTAAATCCACTTAAATCCAAAAAATTTCGAGAAAATTTTGACAGCCTCCCGGCGTCCCTTCCCCACCGAGGGAGACATTAGGACGGCGTTTTCCATAATTTCTTTCCAGCCAGATCTAAGGTCGACGGTGCGAAGCCTTGAATTTGAAACCATCCCGTTGGACTTAAAGTCGACAATATGAGGTCTAGAATTTGAAACCATCCCGATCGGACTTAAAGTCGACAATATGAGGTCTAGAATTTGAAACCATCCCGATCGGACTTAAAGTCGACGGTACGAGGTTTTGAATTTGAAATCATCCCGACCTGACTTAAAGTCGACGGTGCGAGGTCTTCACTTTGAAATCATCACGGTCAGATCTAAGATCGATGATGTGATGTCTTCTTTAAAATCATCTCAATCGGACTTAAAGTAGAAAAAAATCTTATTTTATTTGAGTAAAATATCTTGAGAACATAATATCTGATATTATAAAAATATGTATTTTTTTTTTAAATCGTTTATAGGAGAAGACATAATGGGTCAAAAGTAATCATTACAGGCCTTTAAAAAAATAACAATTCATTAGAAGGAAATCATTTCACTGTTCAATCGAGGAAAGGCATGCAGTTTAAGAAAACTATAGGCTTGGAATGATCCACGGTCACAGGCATATTCGCATGAATAAAAAAAAGAGTTGGAAATATCGGTTGTGTTTAAAACGGAGATACAGAAATCCAAAAGGCCTTTGAAGAAAGAATTTTTATTGCGTCCTCCCATTTGACGTAGAGATACGTCCTCCCATCATCAAAAAATTCGGTTTTTGCTCGGTATTGCTAGGTATTATTTGATAATAACGAGGAATATCATCATGTGAAGACCAATACCGAGTTATACCGAGCAATACAAAAAAATACCGAGTTTTTTCTAGGAAAAATTATGTATTTTTTTGTATTGCTCGGTATTGGTTTTCACATGATGATATTCCTCGTTATTGTTTGGTATTGCTTGGTATTTGCTCGGTATTTCTCGTTTTTTAGCGCGAATTTAGCTCTGGGAAGACGTATCTCTACGTCAGGTGGGAGGACGCAATAAAAATTCTCGAACAAGAGGCTAGGGGTGTTGTGCAACGGGATTCTTACTTGCCGGCAAGAGGTAAGGGAGTTCGGATGGAGGGCGTCGGAGTCGCAAAACAGGAGGCGGAGGCGGATTGCGTTCTTAGCAGCGGGATTTACCTGAGGAGAAAAACTTTGATTTTACGATTGGAGGCGGGCTCGTGCTCGACGGCAAGGCAGATCGGAGGCGAAGTTTGGGGCGTTAAGACTGGAGGCCTAAGTTCTGTCCAGCCTTCGGTTGCATAACAAGAGCGTGAGAAAAGAATTTTTATTAGGTCCGGACACCTGACGTAGCTCTACATCCGGACGCCAATAAAATGTCGCCACGTGCTCTTGCTCTTTATCGCGCGGCCCGATGACCCGACCCGGAATGGAAACCCGGTATTGCTATGTTCGTGTATTGCTCAGTATTGCTCGGTATTGCTCAGTATTGCTAGATATTGCTTGGCAATAACGAAAAATACAGCTCTGTCAATACCAATATCGAGCAATACCGAGCAATACCTAGCAATATCGAGCAATACCGAGTTGGTCTTGACAGAATGATATTTCTCGTTACCGAGCAATACCGAGCAAAACCTAGCAATACCCTGGTTTGTATAAATCAGCTAATACATAACAATATTGGGTTTCGGTCTGAGTTGGGTCGTCGGGCCGCACAGTAAAGAGCAAGTGCACGTGGCGACATTTTATTGATGTACGGATGTAGAGCTACGTCAGGTGTCCGGACCTAATTAAAATTCGTGAGTAAGAGAGGAAAATGAATGTGAGTGATCAGTTTATGTTCTTCTATTTTTTTTATATACAATGCATCGCCGTTGAATGGCATTTTTGAACGAAGCAATGCATCATTTTGGCGATGTGGGTCCAGCTCGAAGTGACGCTTCCATTCGTTTCGTTTGATTTTGATTGCTTTCATTATTTAGAAATAAATCTTATGCTTGTATGAAAGGCATTATAAATCCTTTATTTATTTTACGGATCTCATTTATGCTCTATGGTAAAAGTTACTCTGGCTAAAAAAATAATTTAAATTTATATTAACTCAGAATTTCCTTACGGAACTTATTCTAATCAATACAGCTCACCTTGGCTTGTTGGTTGAGAGCTTATGCTTCCAACTAAGAGGTCTTGGGTTCGAGTCTTTGTGTATGCGTTGTGTGTGTGAGTTTGCCTTAAATGGCCTAAATGTCCCAAAAAAAAAAAAAAAATAAACTTATTCTAATCTTTGCAACTTAACTCGCATATGCAAACTTGGTTTAAATCATTATCTTTCAAACTTTAAGGAAAGTTGGTAGCTTCACTCATTTGTAAACGATATGCTCCTGGTTTAGCTATCTTCAGCATATATAATCCTTCCAATCAGGTGTTAGCTTCACAACTCTAGTTTTTTTATTATTTTTTTATAATAATAAAAGAAGGTAAGAAATAGTTCGCCAACAATATTGTTGTGCCGCCCGTCTTATCATTGTGTTAACACGACTTCATCTTATGCCTCTGATTTGTCAACGGCTCTGATCATTTTCATATTTCTACCATATCTGTCTTCATCCACTCATTAGTGGATTTTGCTGTTGTTGCTAATGCCTTAATTATTTTAGTCAACAAACATTAAAGATAAACAGTGATAATTATTATCAAAATTAACTTCAATTATTGATTAAATTAACTTAAGATTTTTGAAAAGTTAAATAGTAAAAAGACTATCTTTCTGTTTTGGATTCATGGATCATGCGAAGTAGATAAGCATGTTTTCTTGATTTTAAATCCTTAATTTTGTCATTGTAAGATAGCTTCTAATGTCATGAAAGAAAATAAACAGAGACATACTCATCCCATTCTCATGAAAAAATTTTAATTAAGAAGATAAAGTTGTTATATCGATCCACCAGTTATTTTTATTTATCTTAAAAGAAATAAGCTAAGAAGACTATAGAAAACCACTTCTCATAGAGAGCCATTAAGAAATTCTTACAAAAGTACACGTAATATAAACAAAATTATAAATGAAATATTTGAGCTTATGACATATCAAGGTAATAAAACCTTTTTTATAAGAATTTGCACAAAATTATGAAGAGACTATTAAAGCATCATGGTGTAAAAATTCAAGTGTTAAGCAATAAAGAAATTAGTAAAAATATATGCTATGGATGAAAATGTTGAATGAATACACAACAAAATTAAAACTGAAATAATTATGCAATTAATATGATAGTGTAATTGCTCCTACATTATCAAATTTCAATTAAGTTAATATTGAAGAATATCAGGATGAAACCAAGAAATCAAATGAAAAGCAAGCCGAACAAGAAACATTAAAGAGTGTTTTGAAGGGAAGGTAGCCATAGAGTTTCTTCTCCCTATGTTAACTTGTGAACAATGTCTTCTATATATGCATACAACAAAGTATTCTCAATACAGAGTTAGTTAAGATTGGATAGATGAGATTAAAGGCACATGTATCCAATGGTTGAGGATGACAGCAGCTTCCAAAATACAAAAACTGTGGAGAAGTCCTCATGGAGAAGTGAGCTAATTGATGCATACATAAGAGCACTTATCATTTGTGCTTATCAGCCCCCCTCAAGCTGACAATAGGTGGTTGAACTGTCAGCTTGTTGCACAAATGATCAAAGCAAAGATAATTGAGAGATTTGGCAATATGATGAACTGAAATATGATTGCACTTGATGCAGTCATGGATAAAGTCACAGCCAATTTCTATATGTTTTGTACATGTATAAAAAATCATGTTATATGACAAGGTGAGGGAAGAATCATTGTCACAAAAGAGTTTAGTGGCATCAGATTGAATACCAAACTCTTGTAAAAAGGAGTGAAGCAAAAAAATGTCGCAGGTGGCTGTAGCTAGTGCTCTATATTCTGCTTTAGTTGAGGAAAGAGCTGCAGCTGTTTGCTTTTTTACACACCATGAGATGAGAGTTTCTCCAAGGTATGCATAATAAGTAGTAGTTGATCAGTGATCCAAAGAGTTAGCAGCCCAGTCGAAGTCAGAAAATGCTTGGAGAATGAGTGAGGATCACATAATAGGTAATCCGAGCTAGAGAGTGCCCTTAATGTATCTTAGAACCCATCTAAGAAGTTGAAAGTGAAGAGTAGTTAGCTGGTGCATAAATTGATAGAGAAAATTAACTGCATACAATATATCAGGCCTTGTAACCGTATGGTATTGCAAGCAGACAATGATTGACCGATAGAATTAAGGATGCTGTTAAGGTTCAGATTCTGGAGCAGAGGAGGATTACTTCAAAGGTAGTGGAGTTTTGACCGGTTTATAATCAGTCATTACAGCTCACTGGAGGATATCAATAACATATTTGGACTGGTTGAGATGTAAACTAACTAAATGATGAGTGAATTAAAGTCCCAAAAAATAATGTATGACTCCAAGATTATGCATGTTGAAGCAGAGATGAAGAGAAGAAAAAAAGTCTTGAATGTCAACTTCACTAGAATCGGTTAATAGTATATCATCAACATACACTAGGATATAGATATGTTG